TCACGTGCCGTGCGCCGCCAACATTTTTTGCGATATCAATAATTCAAAGCTTCCTCCCTATCAAGTGTTGACATTAAGTCCCTTTTCTGTCTGTGTGTGCCACTGTGGACTGAGTCCCCGTTGCAGCACTGCTGCTCTTTCCCAACGTTTCTCTGGGTTTCAGTGATTAAAGACCACAGTGAGAACTCTTAAAGCCCCCCCGGCCACTGGTCCCAGTACAGCTCCTTTTCTGTCTCTTATTGAAATATTCCTTGTAGATATTCCACTGTGTGGTTTTCTCCCGGCGGCTGGCCGCTCTGCTGAACAAGAGAGGCTTGATTTCAGCACAACTTGTCTAATGGGGTTGCTTTTTTGTATTAATAAGCCTCTCTCTCTCTCTCTCTGCTAAAGCAAGAGAAAAGAAGTCGGACCATAATCCCGATTATCATATCCCATTCACATCTCACCTGCCATTTTCTGCCTTTCAATAAAGCTTGCATTGGCTAATGGGAATATAAGCTTTTGTAACTCTCAGTTTTGTTATTGTTAGCTCTTGTTGTCGGTAGGTGGGTGACTTTGTTTGGTGTTTGCCACCCTCCAGTTTTTCCTCTGACTTGTTTCGAGACATTTTATTCAACTCAAGTTTGCTTTTTGACGTGAAATCAGACAGAGAGACTCAAAACACTACAGCAAGAGCAAATAAAAAATGAACAACACCCAACTCATCAAATACTGCTGCTTGGTCAGTGGCCCTAGCGACCCTTTCAGGGCCAGCGTCACAATGTCAGTTTTTTAGCTGGAAGCAAAACATGTCTCGCCACCACAGGGCTGTAGGCTACACAGGAGTCTTAAAATGTTGTGATTGTCAAAAATGCTCACATGTGCAGCACACGTTTTATATCAGGTTATGGAAAAAGTATTTACTGTTGTAGGGATGAATAGTGTTATGTGTATTAAGGGTCATCATGTCCACCTAATCAGAAATTGGGGAGGTAGTAAGAGGAATGTTGGATTTCTCCTTAATGCTGACTTTTTAGCGCATTAGCTAATGTTAGCTTCGATAGCAAAACAAACCAAAAGAAACCGTTCAAGCGTTTCCCTCTTTTGTAAGATTGGCATAGAAATCAACCACAAACTGGCCATGCCACTTTCAGCAATCCTGTCGAGTCAGCCATCCACTGAGTGAGAGCAGATGGGTCGGCCAGCCTGGTCCCGTTGGTCAGGGTCTACTTATTCAAGTAACACTTGAAGTCCCGAAGAAACGGAGCATTATATTTCTATATGAATCAATAAACGGTTAAGTTAATCACACTGCTACTCAGAGAGTGCGTTTCTCTGGATAACCGAATGGTACATTCCGACAGTGGTACAAATTTACAAATGGTCCAGTTTGTGCCAGAGTGCACTTCGGTACTTGGAATGAATCTTCCTCCATTGTCTAAAACAAGCCAACAGAACTTGCTACATATCACTAGTTAATGTCTGTGGAGAATTGTTTTGCCTCCAGCTAAGCCCCGCCCACAAAAAAAGTCATAATGTTTACTAACAGTAGAAGGGTCTATATGTCAAAATATGTCACTCCAGGTACCCCTCCAGCATCAGTTTTGAACACTCAGGGACGGCGTGAAACTTTCCATGCATTGTGTCATTTCAAAATAGACTTCCCTTTTCACAGGAAGTATACAGTTTCCACTTGTTAAATGCATACAGTCTCTTTTCAAAATAAACTTAGAACCTTTGTAAAAAAAACAAAAACAAAAAAAACCTTAATTTTAAGGTTTACTTTTTAAGGTTTAGGCAACAAAAGCACATGGTTAGGATTTAAAAAGAAAACATCCTGGATTGGCTTTGTTACGAACATGATGTCACGTCAAGTGACATATGTCACGTGACATACATACATATTACAGTGACTTTTGGTTTCACATGAGAGACAAACAGCTCCCATGCAAAAGTTTGTTTTACATATCCACCTCCCATCACACTCGCCCTATGTGGACTTAATTGCTCTTTAATCTACAGCAGTTGCTTGGAGCTTGAAAAAATGCTGCCACCAGTTGTGTCTCAAACTGCCGCTTTAAAGGTACGTCTGTGCGTCACTATCTGATGCTGTGGGCCACTGACCAAGTGTTGGTATTTGATGAGTTGGTAGTCAGACTTGATTGTACATGACTATGAGAGGTGAGTCATGTTAGTGTGGTGGCTCAGATAATACAGGACTAAAACATTATGTTGCAGAGACCGGGGCAGAGCACAGTTGGCATTATTTTGGCGGTTGGAAACCAGATAGGGATTATTGTTGTTGTTGCCCTAGCTATTAATAAGCAGCATATTTATTGTAAAACTGGCTGTGAAGTGGCATCTGTATATCAAAGGACTGCAAGGAACACAGTGTAGTGAAAAAACAAAACAAAGAAACAAAAAAAAACATCTAGTGTCACAGCAACAAACTGCACATAGCTCAAGCTAGCTAGCTTGTGTTGCCAAGGTAGCTGGTCTGTGATGCTTCATAGCAAAGTAAATAAAAACACCCAAGGCTGAGCCCAGTGCTCACTGAAGTTTGTGTTTCAATTTGTCACTTACTTTGAAATGTCCTCGTCAGACATCAGAATTTACATGACTAGAGAAAAAGGTCCCACTTGTCTTGTCTGATGAATATTGAAAAGATGGGTGTAAATTCAGTCAAAATATTGCTTCTATAAAAAACACCCACCATATACAATTAGTCATTAACTTAAGTTCACAAAGCCGGAGCGTACCCAGCAGAGGCGTTAACACCACATAACTTCAGACTGCATGCTCGGCTGGCCTGATTCTTGCTCCTGCCTCTGTTACTGATCAATGCGCTGGTGAAACGCTGCACCCTCTAACTTGGGTCTGATTCCTATAATTAGGCCAATTGCACCTCCACTCTTCATTTGACTTCCATTCAGGCAGAAAGAAAAACAGAATAATACAGAAAAAAAGCTTTAAGCTGTGACAGGCAGTGCACCCACAGGGCAATCAGAACCTGAATGCTTTGGAGCAATGAGTTCACACATAGTGGTCATCCCTAATTTTGGAACTCATTTGGCAGTGTCACGGTAGGTAGTAAGACACAAAGAGGTGAAGGTGATCACTGACACTTAACAGCAAGGTGTCAGTTACTACAGAGTGGCCAGCTGGGTGAGGGAATTTCTAATTGACCATTCTGACCGGTCACACCAGAAGGTGGCACACTGAAAATCAACCATATGTCTTTGCTAAATACATCACCCAGGAACATGCTAGCACTGGTCAGTCACAATAGCTCTTCAAGCATCTTACATTTTGTTCTCAGGATTGCACGAGAGTTATTTGTACCAGCAACCCCTGCAACCCCTGTCTCAAACTGTCCGCAAACCATGCCTCTTTTGTAGAGCAGCCTATTCTCCGGCAGAGGAGGTAAAATAAAACTGAATGGGGCTCAACAGCTGATAAACATTGACTGCTTCCTCCATGAGCGAATGCACTGATCCCGGCAAAGCCATTGAAACGAAGTGCCTTCAAATGCTTGTGTGACTGGGCCATGGCGAATTCTGTTTATCATACATCTTATAGATAATTCCTTACAGAGATGATTCACTCTCTGCCCTATTCATGGTAGTTTATGCCGTTCTCTTTGTAAGAGTGAAGCTACAGGAACTCGAGCTCCATCAGCAGAAATCTCTTAAGAAGTGTCCTTCAGAATTACAATGAGAACGAAAAAAAAAAAAAAAGAAGAAGAATGCACAGTTACTTTTTTTCTTTGGATCTGGCAGGTTTACAGTAGTTTATTAGCCACTGAATGTACCTATTATTACACTATGTTGAGCCAGTACTGATAGTAAGCGCAAAGACTATTTTTCATTACAAACCAATCGCCATAATAAATGTTGGCATTTTATTTTTCTGCAGACCACAGATATGTTACATTTGTACCGAGGCTGTAAACATGAACTCAACATTGGGGGAGACTCAGGGTGCTTTCAGACCTAGAGTTCGCTTGCTTTGGTTTGAATCAGGGATTAATTTTGTTATATGTGTTTTGCATAATTGCCTAGAGTTGGTTCATGTTCTCACGGCAGCATTTACAAGCAGACCAGATAAAATGCATTGCGCGAGAACGCCACTCTTGATTGGTCAGAATTTCTATGTGGGAAAAATCCAGGAAGTAAACAAAACGTTGAAGAAGAGTACACTTGCAAGATAAATGCGACACTTTCTAATGTCACAATGGAGGGACATCTATGCCGGTTGAGTTTAGCGCTGGTCATCGTGGACTATATTGCTGTCATTGTTCATTTTAAGTAAACCATACAGTTTGAAAATGAGGAGTGGCTCCAACTAGGAAACAATGTTTTGATGCACTGGATGTTCTGAATGTGCATATTAAGGCAGTACAGGAGGAGGCGCACATTAATAATCCTCCGGGTCTTTAACGTGCTTATGCTTTTTTAACCCAAACAATCATAATGCAACTGCAGTTGATTTGGATCGAGGTTGGAACACGTTGTCACCACAAACGAACCGCACCAGAGTTCGTTTATAACCGGACCAAGACCACCTCTTCAAGAAAGTCTCAGTCCAGTTATTTTTATGCTCATCTGAGTGCGATTGCTGTGTTCACACCTGCCTAAACAAACCACACTTACAGGGCAAACGAACTTGAGTTTGATTGAGCCGAACCAAACAGGGCAGGTGTGAAAGCACCTTAAATCCGCAGTCCAATGGGTCCAGAAAAAATTACAAATTTGAAAACTCATCTCGTGTTATACTATATTATTTATCTTAACCAAGACAGCACAGTATTTTACATTGGTTTGGCCTACCCACAGCAGTTGAGCAAGGGCTTTTACTTAGGTATGGCAACACCACTTGGACAAACCACACGTAGAACAACATTTCATTGTAATGCAAGAACAGGTATGGCAATTTGTTAAGTTTATTGCTAATGATTATTTTGGATGGTCATGTGTGTTTGCCTGCGTCAAAAATGTATGTTTCAGTTTCAAATTTATGTTATGACAATGTTGTGGTTAATGTGTGGTTAGGTTTAAGCATAAAAAACCTTTGGTTAGGGTTAGGAACACATGTTTTTGGCTAACACAGATTGGTCACCACAAACATGACTGGAAATGTCTCGACATGCCATCAAAAATACTGCTTTTGTTCGTAAGTGCTGTATCGTAGGCAACTGGACTTGCTTGCATTTCTTGAAGACGTTTCGCCTCTCTTCCAAGAGGCTTCTTCAGTTCTAACTGACTGGTGCAGGGTCACAGGCTTTAGACTCTGTGTGGATGTGAACCCTTACAGAGATGTTGAGGTCACATGTGCGCTTGTATTCGTACCAGTCTAAGGGCATTCTTCCCAAATTGATAAGCAACAAGTCAGTGAAGATTGTCAGTCATCCAGGTCATGGTAATCATAAGTGCTGTATTGTAGGCAACTGGACTAGACATTGAGGTCACATGTGAGCTCTTCGTTTCAGAGACTTTACGACTCTCAAACTAAGAGCTCACATGTGACCTCAACGACTCTGTAAGGGTTCACACCCACACAGAGTATAAGGCTTGCAACTCAGCACCAGTCAGTTAGAAGTGAAGAAGCTTCTTAGATGAGAGGCGAAACGTCTTCAAGAAACGCAAGCAAGTCCAGTTGCCTACAATATACCACTTATGACTACCATGACCTGGATGACTGAGAATCTTCACCGACATACTGCTTTTGTACTGGTTTGCTTGGCAGCTGTCTCGTCTAAGTGTCACACCATCCACCGTTTCTGCTCATATACATGTTAATATGAACTATGTTACTTTGGAAATGTTGATATGATACGTCTGAAACATACAAATGTAGCATAACCATTGTTTACAAAAAGGTACAATGCCAATTTTACTCTGGCGACTGGGCTGTTTATCACCAAATAGTGTTGTCAAAATATATAAAAACAAGAATTGCACAATAAATCTTCTGTTCCAGAGTGTCTACTGGCTCTGTTACTGAGCTGACTGTGTCCTTTAGTCTCTGCTGTGGCATTTTTTGTCTGACTGACTCGTCTGATGAAAAATGTCAGACGTGACTGCCTCCTGGATCCACTCATCTGTGGCCCTGACCCTATCAGCCGTGACCCAGCCAGCGCAACCAATTCCCCGCTTTCTATCGGGTTTATTTTGGCTTTTACCGTGTGGGATGAGGGTTTTTTTTTTTTTTTGGTTTGTTTTGTTTACCAACTGTTTCCACTGCCCTGCCTGCTTACCAATTGTTCCAGTGGCTGCGTTTGCAAAGCTGAATGGGCTTTAAGGATGGAGCAGTACGTGATGGCAAGGAGGGTTCATATTTCCACATTTCCGCCTTGCTGGATTAAGTCAATTGGGTCCGATAATGCACATCCCGAGCAAACATTGACCTGCTTCTCAACTCTGCCGCAAACAAAACCACCAGCTGTCAGGAAAAGGAGGAAATAAATACAAGGTGGAGGGGGAGAAAAAAACAACAACAAAATTTGCAAAGGATTCCCAACGGAAGCAACCAGGTTTATGGGATTGTGAACTCCATTTATATATGATTCACTTTGTTTGGCTCGTTTGTTTGAGTTTTGACTTTGTCAGAGAAGATAATCATATGCCGGAGTTGGATTCACACACACACATACATATCCACACACATAGAAAAAGTTATAAAGAGTGAAGTGTGTGCAGCGTTGAAGGGGACACACAATGGTACAAAATTGCAAACTGAATTACATTTTTTTTGGCACACAGAATCAATCACTTATATTTCCTGCTGGAACAACGCACACGGGGGAAACCAATCATTCTAAGGTGTAGGGGGTGAATTATTATTATTCACTGTCTCATCATGACTGTACTCCACTATCACTGAAAAGATTCATCACAGCCCCGTTTTTGTTTCTCGCAGATATTTCTCCGTTCAGACATGGAGGGAGCAAAGAAGAAGATAAAGGGGTGTGAAAGGAAGTGAAGAAGAGATGAAAAAGAAAGAGATTAAGAGAGAAAAGGCTATGTATATTTATATATATAAAAAGCATAATATCAGTTGTCGCTACAAAGGGCCATGGTCTGGAGTTTCACAGTCTTTCATGTACAACAGGCGCAGTAACAGTACGGACTCTTTTGTCTCCCTGCTGCGATGACGCCTGCCGCTCGGCACTGTGGGAGCAGAAGGAAAGCAGAGTCCACCCTGTAATGTATTCTGTGTGAGTGTGTATGTGTTAGGTGTGGGTGTAAAGGTGACACATTTTAATGCTCTGGTGACTTCTTATATCAGTGCCTTCAGTTTGGTCTCAGGTTTTCAGTCATATGACCCTGGAGGCAGCGGGGGGTTCCACAGCACAAGGCAAAAAACATCCCCTCCTGTAGACCCCCTTATCTTACTCTCCACTGGCTGAGCTGTTTCGTCTTTTGATTTAGACGCTGTAGTATTAGACCCCCCTGTGCAGCTCAGATCTACATGCGGTCTGGATACACAGCGTACCCAAACTGAGTGCTGCTCTGCTGGAGCTTCCATTAAAATGTGTCACACTGAAATCCACTCTTTTTCTCTCATCAGATTGTCATGTGCACCCTTCCCTCTTATATTTACATGCTTTAAAAATGACAATTTACACCTTTTTTTCACTTTTTTTGCACGCACATTTCCAGTACATAATTGCATTTACGGTTACACCACCTCCAGAGATGGTTTAAGCAATCCAGTCATAATCCATCCTCGCTGTGTCTTTTTTTCCCCTCCTATATTAATGTGGCTAAGCATTGTCTGATTATACTTTGATCACTTAAATATGCATCTTAATCACAAGTTTAAAAAGGGTCTTAGAGGTGGAAGCAGCACTTTAGATAACAAGGTCAAAATGATAACTGTGGCTGCAGCTGCTAATAAATCTCACATCATTACAGAAGAAGCAAATAGGCTCAGAGAAGCACTTAGAAGATTTGGCCTATTTGTCAAACTTAAGGATTTATTTTTATGTTTGAGTCATGTAACCCAGATAGTTTTTTTTCTCTCCCTGCTGGTTGTGATGTTTTTTTTTTTTTTTCCAGCTAGAGCTCGAGTACAGTGAGTGATCTAATCAAACCTAGTTTTTTGTGGCAGTGTCTTCTAATACCAGAAAAAGTGGTATTTTTATTCCACTTTTCACAGTTTCTTGCTTTAGTCTAAAACTAGAGAAGTAGAACATCCTATGCAAAATCTGTGCAGAAATGAAATGTTTCCAAAGCTAAAATTTGGTCCAACTATTGAAATATGTGAGGCATATAGTTGCTCAATTGACCCATATTTCATGTGTGCTGTCTGTGCTTGCCTTAATGCATACATATTTATTAATCAGTGGGTGACCACAGCTACATTAAAACTGCTTTATTTTTGCACATTTTATTCATTATTTTAAAGAAATAGTTTGACATTTTGTTGCCTACTAGTATCTACTTAACAGTTTTTGTTCAAATTAAATAAACTAGATATATAGATTAATGAGCTTTTGAGATACTTGAATGCAGATTTTGTTCCTGTACTATTGGAGAGAACCAGGTTAGCTGTTTAGCTAGCAGACTACTGACTGTAGCTTCACATTTAAAGATCCAGTGTGTACAATTTCGGGACATCTATAGCTCTTTTGCATATGATGTCATACATTGGTGTCTACAATTTGAGCTATTTACAGCTCTTCCAGTTGATCAAATTGAGAAAAAACAAGGCTCACTGTAAATCCTAAAAAAAGTGGACGTAAAGGGGAGAAGTAAAAAAAAAAAAAAAAAAACTCACTGAGAAACAGCGGTGGATGTGGATGAAAAAAAACTCTGTCCTCTCTTTGGAGGAGCGGTGTTAACTAACATCAAATGTTAACGCATTATTTAACATGCCTGAAGTTGGATACCATAACAATATGCTGTTTCAACTCGGTGTTTTTAGCCACAACCCAGATTTTTATGGTGTTTGCCAGACCTATGGAAACAGATGACCTAATAGGTAGAAAATAGTGGCTAAAGTTAGCTAACGTTAGCTGGTAAGGTTAGCCTGACAACGGCGCATCCATGTACAGAGTTGGAATATGAAATACTGTATACTCAAGCACATTTACTCACCCTGCCAAAAACAAAATGGCAGTCGTTTCAGCCATGGACCCAACCGCAAACAAAATAGTTACAGTCCACTAGACTTTTGTACGTTTTCATCGGCTCGCCGTGTATTGTCAGTAACGTAAGGAGGTCTAGAGCAGTGGTTCTCAATTGGTCCAGAAACCGGGTTCCAGATTTGTCTCTAGTCATTTGTTCAAAGTCCACACACTTAAAAATATTTAGCGTTATACTTGTGTTTGGCCATGTCGTCAAGCTCGTTTGCTGTCTCTGTTAAGTAGGTATTTGTTATACACTCACTCTACAGCAGGAAACAGTCCCTCAAAATAAAAGCTCTGTGCTGGATATTCACTGTACTTCAAAATAAAGTGTGTCTTTTTAGAAACTTGACATATTCGCTAACCCTAATCCTAACCCATCAGTTGGGAACCACTGGTCTAGAGGACATAGTAATTCGTAAGGGTGATCGTGTCCACACCGGACAATGCTGTCAAGTTGCTGGAAAAAAATTGCTTTCCTTTGTTTTGTATGGATCACATCCACCATTAGTTTAAATTTTCTGACGATACCTGCTGCTTGCAGATTCATACATATTGTTTATGTTGTCATGTTCATCTTTTTCCAATTCAGTGTATGGACTTATAACCACCTGCTCTTCATCTGAATTTCGTGCATCATAATAGTCACATAATTGCAAACAAACTATTGGCCAAAATAGTATGTGATATTCAAAACTGTTTTTATCGGTTTATAATTACTTTAAAATAAGGATTGTGTTTTTATTACCTTAGAATGAGTTGTTTGTACCTACATACCAAGTCCGCCATATTGTTTCTACAGAAGCCAAGATGGACAAACCAAACACTGGTTCTAGGTAGGGCCAGTCACGTTTTCATGTCGGGTACTGTAGTTCTCCTGCACGCTTGGCACATGAGAGAAGTTTCAGTTGGTTGCAATGTGCAACCTCGCCACTAGATGCCACTAAATCCTACACACTAGACCTTTAACATGCAGACATAAAAGTGGTTTTAATCTTCTTATCTAACTCTAAGCAAGAAAGTAAATGCACCTATTTACCAAAACTATTCCATGAATTGTGCAACCCTTTTGTAAATAGTTTTCTAATTTAAAAGTATTTACATATCCAAAACTGTATACCCTGTCATTGAATGGATAAGATGGGTACTTCTGACGTAGCTGCCATTTCTGAATATTTTCTTGTGTTTCATTTGATAGTTTTAGAGTACTGTGGTGATATTCACTGATTATTCTGGAGGAGCACTGCACGGAGTTTTTCAAATGCAAACTGTCAAATTTAAAGACAACAAATATGCAGAAATTAAACAAAATATCAGCCATCTGTAGCTGAATTCTTAAATTATTGGTATCATCCTTTAAAAAACTCCATTTTGGTCAAACCCTGGTGTGCGACATTTCTACAGTATATGTTTCAGTGTGTTTGTGTGAAAACATGTCTGCATGTGCATGACTGTGCGTGTGTGTACGAGAATCATGCTCCTTGGAGCCTCTGCTAGCTGCAGCATCATCCAGATGCTGCCTCCCTGCCTCCTTATCCCTCCTCCGGGCCAGCTGTCACCACACAGACGGGATCAGAACAGAACAATGCCAGTGTGACAGCCTCCATTCTCTGTGCTGGAGCCTTGTGGAAAAAGGGCGACCTTCAGCTGCAGATCTTATGAAGGCGCTTCTGAATAGCCACAGTACAAAGCCCTGCATGTCTGCAGTCCAAAGCCCAGCGCCCTCATCATGTGTGTCTGTTTCAAAGCCCTCAGGAGATTTATGGGGATTGAATCATAAGGGAATGTTTTTTTCTTTCCAACTGTTCGATGCTTTGTTGGGCAGATGAGCAGAACTCGTGTTGCGAGATTTGTGGGTAAACTTGCTGTGTTTCTTCTTTCCCACAATGCTTCGATGCGTTACACTAAATCCCTTATATTGCTTCTCAGGTTTGGTTCATAAAGCCAATCCATTTTATTATCAGCACTTTCCCACTTTATCATCCGTGTGTTGAACTGTAACGCTCAGATATTGTTGTTATTACAGAGTAGATATTAGCTGTGAGGCAACACTCTAATATCACCACAAGTGTACACACATCCCTGCTCTGTAGGCGCTTTGAAGTTATGGTAACAGATGCCACCGACTTGGACGCTGAAAGGTCTGTTCAGTGATTTGATTGGTGAACTCTGTCTGTGAAACGAGGACCACTCAGACACAGTGTCACTGTCCAACCACATTCACCGGTATACCAACGAGCCACACAAACACACACATAGATCTGCACCCTTGACCAACGCAGGGGTTGGTGTCCTCACTCAGAGATTACTTGTGCCACCACCACATGCATCCTTTTGCCTTTCATTTTCTCCCTTTCTCCCTTCTCTCACACAGTCACCTCTGTCTTGCTGTTGGTCACAAAGTAGGGCTGTGTGGGGAGGAAGTGTTGGCTGTGGCTGTGGCCCCTGGTGCCGTGAAGCTGGTTGGGCTCCAGCACGGTACACTGAGGCCTCTTGTGCCCGTAGGTCTTCCTGCGGCCCACTGTCTCAGTCCCATCCCAGGCCTTAAGGCCCAGCCCCATCGTATGCCCAGACGCAATTGTGTTGGAACTGTACACCATTGGGCGGCCCATTGTAGCCGAGCTGGAGCCAAGGGAGGTCTCAGCGGCCCTGGAGATGCCCAGGGACGTGCCACCTGGCATGGTCCCTGCCATGTGTGCCAGGGAAGTAGACCTGAGTCCTGGTGGCTTGCTACTGTGGCTGTGAACATGACTGTGAGTGTGAGAGCTGTGAGAGCTGTGGCCCACATGACCATGGCTGCCTTTGGGTTTCTGGCCATTCGGCTTGAGTCCCCCACCTCCTCCGGCACCGGCTATGTGCCGTTCTGTCGGGAGGGTTGAGACAGAGGAGATGCTGGGCATCTCAGTGACATACGTGGCCACTGGCTCAGGAGTCAGTGGACCCAGGGAGGTCATAGGGGTCATGGAGGTCATTGGGGTCAAGGAGGTCATGGGGGTCATGGAGGTCATAGGTGTCATGGAGGTCATAGGTGTCATGGAGGTCATCGGGGTGAGGGAAGTCATGGGCGTCATAGAGGTCATGGGCATCATAGATGTCATTGGGGTCATGGATGTCATCTGGTTGATGGTGGGGTTCATGGGATTGGAGGCCATTTGGTTAGAAGACATGGGGTTGGTCGTCATCGAAGGAGTCATCGACGTCATGTTGCCCATGGAGGGTCTGGAGTTGCCCATGGGCTGGAGAGGAAGCCCGCCCTTCGTTGGCAGCTCCACCATCAGCCGGCGCTTGTTGTAGACTTCACCGTTGTACTTGGCAGCTGATAGAGGAGGCAGAGAGAGAAACAGAAGGCTAATGAAAATGTTACATGGACATGAAAGAGCTGCTAAAGAGCACAACTGAAATCTTGGATTAACTGTTGAGTTGTAAATGAATTTGCTTCCTCTGATTTGTCTCTTTGCTCTTTTTAGACTGTCAGTGGTGAAAAAAATGATATCCTTAGTTTGTCCATTTTGCTGCTGTGGAACAGAAAGAAAATAAAACCGTTATATAGAGTGACTCATAAAGTAAGACTTCCAGCAGTTTGCAGATCGGCTGCAAACAAGACATGTGAGCACACACACACCACACACTGGAAGAAGTTTGGATAGAAAACATCCCATCCCTTTTAACTCCCACAATCTAAAAAGGTCACAAAACAAACCCCATATATTTTAACTTTTTAGTCAGCCTACCCTCTTCCACTGTAACTGACCAAGCAGGGTGTCAGGGCCACTGTAAACGCCTGCATAAAGAGGCCCATCATGCCACCGGGGGAGTGAAATAAAAAAAAAAAGCCTAGAATGTCTCCTCCACCTCGCCTCTTCCTCCCTTATGAAGCCAAGAAAACATCTCATTTCTGTGTAGTGGGAAGGTGTTCACTGTGATAAAAACGAGCATGGCACATGTTTTTTTCCCCTTTTGACGTTTCAAGATTTCAAGAAGACCTTGTTGACTGCCTTTTCTAAGGAGGAAATGAAGGGTAGTGCAATGTCAAAGCCAGAATGCTTTTTGATACAAAATTATGGATCTGTTTTTTTGCTTCTTACAAACTAGTTGCAGAAAGAACATTCCAGCATGCTCTGTAGTGGTCATTCTTCCAATATGTCAGCATTTGCACAGTTGTGGATAGTAGACAAAATTGTATTGAAGTAAAAGTATTGTTGCTTTGTAATTATATTGGCTCAAGTACAAGTAAAAGTACTAAAATGTGAATAAAAGTAAAAAAGTATCTTGAATAGTGAGTAACTTCACGAGATGCACTTTATTACATCAATGTATTATGGTCAAACAGGTCCTCAACAGGTAATAACAAAAGCGAAGTGCTAGTTTGTTGTCATTAAAATATCCAGAACCAGACCAACAGAGCCAAACTGGTGTTGTAGCAAACAAACCACCTGCTTAGGACCCTCATGGTGAGCACATGGGCCCCCAAGAGCACTTGTCCCACATGCGGTGCCGGGCTGCCCTATACTGCCCCTGTGCAGAGCTCTGCGAATCATACAAGGGCCCTGCCTCCCCCATGTGTCAAAGTGGGTGTCAGTGTGTACTACTTTGATAAGAGGAGGAAGCAGAACTATCCTTCTTGTCATGAAAAGAGGGTAAAAAAACACCATGAGAGTGAATGAAGGAACAGCAATCAGGTAAACTGTGTTCTCTTCTCTCCAAGTTTGATGTCAGCAAGTTAAGTACCGTTAAGTTGATGTACTAGCAGGCAGTGCATCTCTCTCTAGTCTGTCTGTCTAACGATAGCAAGGTAGTACATCTCTTTGTCTGTTTGGGTCTTGCTTGTTTGCTAGCCTCTTCCAGGGCTGTGTTGTGTGACTCCATTTCTGACAAAAGTGGGAGTGAAATACAACTATTTATTACCTTTGATTAATGCCAACAGGCAACAATGTTTTTGAACCGCGGCTTGGAAAAGATAACCACGTTGCACGTGAACATGTGTTCAAATGCATTTGTACAAAATGAAACTCATGCATTCCAGCAGAATAAACCTCTGTAGGGACCAGTCCAGACAATAGACCAGGGTTTCCCACAGATTCATGTATTTGTGGCGGCCTGCCATGATCAAAACATCTGCTGCCACAAATAGTTTTTTAATTTTTGGAGCTGGACAGTTTAAAGAACCATTCAGTTATTTATAGCCCCACACTTTTGAAGCGCAGAATGCACTCTTGGCACAGATGGAGCAGCAGAACGTCAGGCGCATTGAAAGTGAAACTTAACTGTTCATTCTACCGGGTCTGAACTGTGCCTAACTCTGCTCTGCAGCAGCCTCTCCTCTCCATCAATTTGATCAGATCTGAAAGGATCAACAGATCAACGATCCTGTGTTCATGGACCCACTGAAATATCTGAATTAAGAGAGGAGACACGTGCTTTAATAGAAAAAAAAGAACATTTTTTTTGATATTGCATGTCATTATAACCCCTGCGCTCTAAGCACCTGGCGCTTTTGCCGGAGTGCTTTGAACGCCTTGAGTTGAAAAAACTTCAATGCAGAGCGGAAAAATGCCTCATGTCATCTCCACCTTTTCCCCATTGTCCACTCGGATGATTCGAGAGGCGGGTCTTCTGTGGCGGTCATGACAACAAGTTTACAGCTGGCAAAGGAGAAACTGGTGGTGCTGATACCCAGAGCTGTTGTCAAACTGCCCCCGAGTCATCCTAAAATATGCCTGGAGACGGCCATCATTGAGGCGAAGCTCCTGGACCAGCTGGTGGTACTCCCCATGATCCACCCTCTTTTTTAAGGTCTCATGTACCCACACAGATCTCTGTTTCCTTGCCCCCGACAAAGTATTAACTGGCAGCCTCTCACCCTCAATCAGATACAGCAAGTACCCTCTGAGGGAACATTTTAGGGACATGATACTAATTACTGTCAATTAAAAATAAAATAAACAGTACATTGAATACACAGGAATGTTAGGAGGTGATGGGGTGGTTGCCTGGCAACAAAAAAAAGGTGCAGCAGGCGTTTTGTTTTTTTTTATTTTATTTTATTTTTTTTTACTAGTGGCATTCGGCAAAAATTTAAAAAAAAAAAATAGACAGTGTGGCATCCTGTGTGATCAGGGCCTTATTGTGTATAATCACTGTGATTCGGTCTATAGCTAAATGTATCGGTAAGAGTAGTCAGAAGTGTGAACTGTCATGCATTTATCGCAGTTGTCCTCTCCACTGCAAGTCCACTGCAAATGTAACTGTCTGTAGCTCAAAACATTGAGTGAAAGGAAATCATTTTTAGACTGCTTAAATTAAGAGTAGTGCTAATATTTGTGAATGTAAAAACAGATGATTCCCATTGCCATATATTCAATAGTGTAGGATTATTGGCTCATGGCTGCAGTCTGTCAGTAGGTAAATGATTCAAGTAGCTGTGGAAATTTGCCCTTAAGATATCAAAATATATCCCTTATGAACATGTTAGCTTTGCAGCTTATTGAAATGCTACCACAGAGTGTAACAGGTGCATTTTTTTGCATTTGCATATTGCATACACAGCTTAGAAAGTTATTTTGACAAATTATTCCTCGGGGGGTAAAGAGTATGAGGAAATTCGTGCATACAGTACAAGCATGTATGCTCTTACAAATTCACAGCCAACTGACACCCACACATATTTATCTACCAAGCTTCACTGTGCTCTGTGTTGGTGTAAGCATCTTCCCGTATCTTCCGTGTGTGTTTGTGTGTTTCTTTAGCCTTGGAGCAGTCAGGTTTTAATGCCTCACATTTAGTCTTCCTCCTGTCACTCACTGTCACCCAGCTACAGTCTCTCTTATCACTGCCAAATGTGACCTTTTTTCCCCGTCAAACTCACGTTCACAGTTGAGTCATTACTCCTTAGCCCGTGTTGCCTCCACGTCCTTGAAGATAAAGTTAACACACTCAGCGGGTTTGCTTTGCCGCTGTAACTATAAATCTACTTTATCGCTCTGTGAACGGGGAGCGAAACGAGTGAGCGAGGGATAGCAGAGGTGTTTGTGAGAAGAAGCAGGGGATGGAGGGAGGGAGGGAGAGCGGCTTCTCACCCGCTGAGTCGCCGCTGGACCGCCCCTGGGGATCAAACCTGCCCAGGCGACAGGTGAATCAATCCGGCAGCAGTGAGCTCAGCGGTACACACATCCAGCAGCATACGTGAGTGGAAATGGAAAACACCGCTGTTATGCAGTGTGGGCTCTGCATGCCTCTGCCTGAGAAAGGCCAGCATCCCACAGAGACTAACACACCGTATGCATCAGAAAATCAAGCACTGCTTCTCTGAAGTGTCAATAACATAAGGGCCTTATTAGGGTTAGACCAGTATGTCAATCTGCTTTTTATTAGCCAGTCAGCTCGTCTACTGCCATGGTGATGGAGGGTTTAAATAGTTTTAAAATCTAATCTATTCCTTAGATTATTTAGTATTTACTGTAAGTGGGTGGATCTTCCTGTCACAGTGCCGCCACCTTACCCAGAACATCCATTAGTCTGGGACTTTTATTGTCTTATGATGAAGTAAATGCTGTCTGTGAGGCTTTTTCATCCTGAAAGGTAGACTCTTTACATCTGAATGGCTGTATTCTTATGCAGGAAAATGCATCTTATGTAAAGAGAGTCAATGTTGGCACAGGGTGCGAGATGTTATCTGAGCCAGCTCGCTGTCACAGATCAGTTGCGATCTCCCAATACAAGCAGAGAGGCTGAACTATGGGCAGTTGTAGCACATAAAATGGGCTGTTATAGACACGGGTGCAGACTGCTTGGGCTTTGTTAGAAAATGCTAGAGAATGTAAAAGCTTATGGCCCATAGGATTTAACGAATCAATGCCTGATATCAGTGGAAGTAAGCCTTCAGGTGTGCTGTCGTCCCAACTATTGCCTGCCAGTCTTGTGCGCGAGCTGGGGGACCGTGGAGGCTCTGGTGATGCGGTGGATGTGGTTCGTCTGCCCGATCTGGGACCATGTAGTTGTATGATGCACAGGCGGGCACTGCCTCTAAACTCGCGAGTCACCTTGTGAGTTCGCATGGGGTGGTGTCTGTGCTGTGGGCGTGCAGCAAGTGTGGGTGGACTTGGTCGAACAGCCACCAAGTATCCTGTCACTTACACAAGTGTCAGGGTCTGGTGGCTACGGGCAGTTTACTTGGGCTTTCCGTTTGACCACGGTTTTTCTCTGCACAAGCGGCGCGCGCACACAGCTACCTACGTTTTAGCGTGTCTCTGAGAATGAAATTGTTGGTGTCTTGCATCAGACTGTCTTAGTCTACCCCCAAATATCTCAACAATTATT